AAGGAGTCATCTATAACATACAGTGTAAGGACTGTAACAGCCACTATGTAGGATAGGCAGAAGACTAGCAGAGCGCATCCATGAGCACTAACTAGTAGTCAGAAGACATGATAAAAACTCCTTAATCTCACAGCACATGAACAGACTCAACCATAGCTTCAACTGGGAAATTGTCAGTATCTTAGACCAAGCTAAATCCAAACATGCGAGGGAATTCCTGGAAGCTTGGCACTCAGACACATCAGCCATCAATAGACAGAGATAAAGCACATTTCCACACCATAAATGGAAAAAGGGACAATAAAAAGGAAACAAAAAGACCAGAACACCTCCTTGCCAGCAATCAAACTCAGTTAAACAGAATTAGGATTAAGGATTAATCAGGATTAACACCAGACAATCAAGACAGCATTAATCAGGATTACCACCAAACAGACAATCAAGCAGTCAACAACAGCCTAATGAAGGAACCACCAAGGAGGAAACAACTCCCGCCCCCCACCACTGGCAGGGCAAGCTGCTGCATATAAACAGGGAGCAACCCCCACTCCCTTCTAGCACTGAAGAGGTTACCTAGCCGGGAACGAAACGTCTGCAAGAAACGACCACGCCCAGAGCGCCCCAAGGACCCCACGGGAGCGAGTCGGCCTCCTCAGGCCCCTCAGCCCCGCCCCTCCGCCCCTCACCTGCGGATCCTCCCCGCAGCAGAAGGGCGGCCGCCGCGGACAGGAGCACCAAGCGCGCCACCGGGAGCCCCATCTGGACCTGGATGCGGGCGGGGAGCCCCGGAGCAGGGCCGCAGCTGCGAGCAACGAGAAAGGCCGGGGAGGCGCCCGGAGGGGCTGGGCGCGTGAAAGGAAAGTGAAAGCGGCGGGCGCCGAAGCTCCCTGAGGGAGAAGCAACGGAGGCCCGCTGAGAGCCAGGAAAGGGGAGGGGCCGCAGCGGAAGCGGCTTCGTGGCCAGGCAGAGGAGGACTCAGTCCCTGAGCCGGCGGGCGAAGTGTCGTGGAAGGGCCCTTGTCGGTCGAGGAGCGAGTCAGCTCAGCGCCCCGGGGTGCCCAAGCGGGAGACGCCTGCCGCCTTCACGGGCTGAGGGATCCGACCCCCACCCAGCTCCCTGCTGGGGGCTACAATCCCCATCCTCCCTGGTGGCCTGGAGAACCAAGAGCCGCCTGGAGTCGGCGTTCTTCCCATCGATGCCAGCATCTTTTTTAATGATGCTGCTCCGCAGAGAAAAGAAGGACCTTCTAACCTGGTCCTCCTTTCGCACTGGGGCAGCTGGGGCCTTCTTTCCCACGCCGGGCTTCTTTCATGAAAGGAGGCCCTAGTGGGGCATGAACAGAGGCCCTGGGTGTGGCACGAGAGAAGCCCCCCTGCACTGGCATGAAAGGAGGCCCAGTCAGTACAGTAGTGGCACAGGGCGTGGGGGTGGGCAGGGCTGGGCGGTGGGGCAGCCGGCAGCACTGGGTAGATGGGTAGCCAAAAGGGCAGAGATGGGGGGAGAGAGGCGGGTGGGGGGAGTTCAAGAGCGGGCTGGGAGGACCAAGCCGGGAATGGCTTGGATCGGGGTGGGTCCTCACCTGACAACTGGTGGGATTTGGTTAATGATGGCAATGGGGAGTGCTGGGATTCCTATAGCTGTGATGTGGTCATGTGACATTGCGCTTTACGACTGCATTCTTTAGCGATGTAAATTTGTGTCCCGATTATCTTTGTTAACCAGCGACTACCTCTATATATGTATGTGTCTGTCTCTGTGTATAGATAGATAGATGGATGGATGGATGGATGGATGGATGGGTAGATAGGTAGATAGGTAGATAGATAAAAAGAAAATAGAAGATAAAGCAAATTTAACAAAAGTTAAAATGCCTACAAAGAAATTTTTTTAGCTCCCCTGTATATAACTGTTTGCTCCCCTGTATATAACTGTTTGTTAAACAGTACAGCTATTTAACCTGTATATAAATCCATTGGTGGCCAAAATAAACCAACTAAAACATCACCCTCCAAAACTGGCAAACAGGCATATTGCAACTTTGCTGTATGCAGATGACATAGTACTCCTA